GAAATTTCATCAGTCCGGTCCGTAGATATGTTAAAAAATGTAAAATCGGCCCCCAGATCAGTTTCCGAGCCCTGATCCTTCCAAAAAACTTATAGATTCATTGTTTTAAGCGAAAATGTATATTTGTTGCCATCACATAACCTACCTTATCGTATACACAATGCGGTCGGTAAAACAATGGGTCGCGGGGCCAAAAAAAATTTTAAGGAACTAATGGGTCAAGGTAAAATTGCTTCGTATTAACATACATAGTTTGCCTTTTTGTTTAGTTTAATTAATTAATTATTTCAATTTGGATTTCATATTTTGTATCTCATTTTCTTTATTTTTTTGATTTTGTTCAATTTTCTATTTCTCTTTTTTTCTCTCTTGTATCTCTTTTTTTCCTTAGTTTTCTCTCTTATTGTCGTATTCTTTATTCTTGGTTAGGGTTTTTTTCTCTTTTATTTTTTAGGGTTTTTTATATCCGATATCAAATTTTAGAATTAAAAAATTCTGTTTTTTTTTCTTGATTACTTTTACCCCCTTTGTGTACCCCTTATTAACCTTAAATCACCCTTATTTTCTTAATATTTTTTTTCGTTGCTTATAATCTTAAACCCTTGGGCATATCAATCAAGTGTGAACTTTAATATGAGAACTTTTTAATGATTCATTTTATTTTGTAAAATTTTTTTCTTTTTTATTCATTTAAGAGATTTAAAAAATATTTTTTTTTGTATTTTTACTTTAAAAATTTTTTTCCCGTTTTTCATTTTCTTCTTTTTTTTCCTATTTATTAATAGTTATTTTGGTTCATGGTAAATTGCTCAATAATTTTTTTATATGTAACAGATATACCTATTGTAAGTATGTACAAATGTGCACAGAGAAATCTTGTGAAAATAAAAGAATGGAACATTAACCTTAAGGAAAAATAGTTAAAATCATCTTATCAATATCAAAATATCTTGTTACAATAGTATCTCTCTCTCTTTCTCTTTTACAAAATATTTCAATTTTATCCTAAAAATTAAAACAAAATTAATAAGTTCACATTGTAAGTATATATTGTAGCCCTATTCCTTATGAAAGCGTATGTGTAATAAAAAAAAGGTAAGAAGAAAATCGTATATAAACCGCTCATAGGTTGAAAGGTATTTTACCTATAGGTTAAATATAATTTAAATTTATTATATATTTTTTATATTAAACAAAATTTGATCCCAAAATGAGATCATCAATTTGGTATAGTGAAATTGAATGGGGTCACGCGAATAAATACATTTAAGAAGCGTAAGTGAAAAATTCGATATTTAAGAGTAAGAAATAATAAAAAAAATAGGAAAAAAAATATTAAAAATTTTCGATTATGTATATTAAAAAAGGACCTTCTGCTCTTTCTATTTTTTTATTGAAATCGAATAGTTTTAATACAAATCAGTTGATTGAGATTGCCAAAATCACTCATTCGTGCAATATTAATTTGCATGATAATTGATGTTTGGCGTAAGCAATTCGTCTAATTCTAATATATATTTTAATCGTTAAAATACCATATTTTCATAGAATAAGCGGCCGCTGACAAAATTTCGGTTGAATATTTTCTTCAAAATGGTCAAAAACGTTAAACAAGCCCTTTAAAAAGACCAGTTCCAGAGCCTTGATATACGCCAAAAGTGATACGGCCTCGAGAACTGATCCTCGAGAACTGTGAAAAGTGATCAGACCTTGGGAACTGAATCCGTTACATAGCCAAAACAAACTCATGCATAAAATTTCATGAAAATCGGTTCAGCCGAACTTGAGATGTTCCGAGGGTTAATTTTATATTTACGATAATTTTTAAGAAAACAGTCGCACAGATTAACTTGATATTTTATATGAGTTAAGCTTCCTCCAACAATGCTATAAGCCAACTAGTTTTTCAAGAAAATCAAGTGCAACTTTTTGCACTTTTAAAACGAACCACATTTACATTTTCTAAGCATAAAATTTTTAGAAAAATAACAAACCCGTTTTTTTGAAATTTAAAAATTCATTTCGAATGTTAAAAAAATTAATCCGAAATTTTTTTGGGTAATATTAGACCTTGCGGAAACTGAATTTTCACTTTGTGCAATTTTATATTTTTTTACCAATTCTTGGAAATTACGTTGTTTCCAAATATTTTTTATTAAATAATTTACAAGAATATTCTTGAAATTTAAAAATTGCGTTATGTTTGCCATCGGAACTATAATGAGGAACTTTTCAGGGAATCGGACATTTCAAAATGAATTTCTATACTAAGAGCCAAATTTTCATTTTTTTTTAAATTTTAAAAGAAGTGCTTAATGAGAAAAATTTTCAAAACCAGAAAATATACATTTTCAGATGGGTTATAATGGCTAACTAGATCAAATTATTTTAATTTATTAGATTACAACAAAAATTTAAATGTATTAAAGTTTTTCCTTTTACTTTCGCTTGAATTTAAATATTTAGCAGAAAATAAAATATTTATTTTTTGACATTTTGTTAATTAAAATTTTCAATAATATTTCCGATGTCATTACTCAATTAATATATAGGTATGTACCCTATTTTATAATTATTTATATTTAAAGTAATGTTAAGAGTTTTTTTTTTCAAAATTTTTGTGGTGTTTATTTAAACAAACGTAAAATATTTGAATTAAGGGTAACACGCAAAAATATACAAACATCAATTTGATAAATGATAAAAAAGGAAAAGAATAAGTAAAAGTTAGTTAAGAATATTTCATTATTTTGGAAATTTTTATGAATAAGGATAACAAAAAAGGATATCCTTTTGTATACTTGAATTTCAACAATAACATCTCTTTTTTATTTCATATTGACCCCTTTTCTCTTATTTTTCAATTATTTTATGGGAAAAGAAATTAAAAGAAAAGACCTAAAAGAAGAAGACCCTAATATTAATTTAAAAATGAAGATATGGTTTTATAATTATCAGTAATAAAATTTTCAATATTTTCTATTATTTTTTAAGTTAACGTATTCGAAACTATGCATAAAGTTTATGAGGTTAAAACTATTTTAAAGAGAATATATGTTACACCTCACAGTTATTTTCTCATTTTTTATAGCAAATTGTAAGTTATATTGGAGAGCTATATGATTTAAATCAATCTTTATTTTGTATAAAAATACTGTAGTTTTGAGAGGAGTAACAAGTACGAATTTTTTTTAGTATAATGCTTTTTGTTACGGGTATAGCAAAAAATTACTTACATAAATTATCACTTGGCCTGCAAAACTTTTCGATTGCAATGAAGTTAATATATAGCAAAGTTGTAGAGGATGATGTAGTTTAATGCATCTAGAAATTCTAGCTTTTTTGAGATAATTAGCGTTTTTTGAAAAATTTTCCGTTTTTCAATTTAAGATTCTGTGGTTTGCAGGCTATTACTTGAAAACGCTAAGTCTGGCACCAATCATTGGTACATTGTTGTAAAGGTCTATTATTCAACACAATAGCTTCCAAGCTAATATGGATATTAAGCTAATATGGATATTAGCTTAATAATGTCGAATTCTGAAGCGATTTAACCACATCGGTACGTCCTGGTAATATTAAAGTCTGCCCCATAGTCAGGTATGTCATATTTGTTATTGTAATAAACATATATTTATTCGCCAATTGGATAACAAGTTTGTATATTGATATCACAGAGTTGAGATAGTCAACTGTATTTTTTCTCGTTTTTCAAATACATTATATGAAAAAATTTTTTTGCGTGAGATATTTTTCAATTGAATCTTTGAAGTTCTTTTAATGTTCTCAATAATTTCAACAAATTATCTTAATATTTTATTATTATTGTTGTGTTGTGCTATTATATATTACTAGATTTGTACATCCATTAATATATAGTAAATATGTTAGGATTACAAAAGAATTAAAATAATGAAAACGACAAAATAAAATTAAATTGGCATTCTTAATTTTCTTTTTAAATAATATTCAATAAATTCAATAATGCTATAATGTACTCGTATGTTACTATACAAAATTCAAAAACTTGAACTTGTAACCTGAATTGCGTGTAGAAAATTTTTCTTATTGCAGCAATTTGAATTTGAGATAAATACCTATAATAAATATCTAAATGTTAAAAAAAATCTTAATATTTTTCGTATAATAAAGTCACTTTTTTTCACTCTTATTAGAATGACTAAAATTTTATATTTTTGATAGACCTAACAAAAAGTTGTGAAACCCAAGCTCAGTTTCCATTTTGAAGTTTACCATTTTCCAAATTTTATCCTTTAAATGGCTCGTTAATTAGTCCGCTTCGGATTCCAACTGTTGAAAGCTTGTTTTGAAGAACTATGTTGAATAGTAGACAAACATTGGGAAGCGTTAGAGTTATACAAAAGTCGGATAATTAAGATCTTTTTCTTTCGATCACATCTTACCTTGCTCGTATAAGAAATGAGATATGATGGTTATACTATTTGAATTTGTTGGTTTCTGAAAAAAATATAATTGTCGTACCATCATATCAAAACTTTACAAATGACATGTTCAAATTGGAAAATTTAATAATGCAATACAAGGTTACGCATCCACTTCTTAAATTATATAAAGTTTTATTGTCGTTATCACTATGGTTTCCTAATTCTATATAAACTCTTGCTTTAAAGTTTTGATAATTTTTATAATCATATAACAACTCGTAAATGAGGTAAAAAAACATAAAATAATATTAATATTATTAATAAGTTGTTTATCATAAGGATCCCAAGTTACCTTAAAACAACTTTTCCTTCAGACTAGCCCAATGGGTCTGTCGGAATGCGAACTTTTATTTCGAGTTCTAGTCTATGCCTAAATCAACAAAAACCACACAAATATTTTTTATTTCAAAAAATTCGTAATTTGAGAACGAAAAATTTAAAATTTTTAAAAAATTTCAGCAGAATTTTAAGTATAAAAATTATAATTATTGAAGATTCTAATAACAATAAGCAAAATATTTTTTTTCTACTTACCATCAACTAATAATTTTTTTATTTCTTCTTGTTTTTCAAATTTATTGCGATCAGTAATGTTCAATCCATTGTAAAAATTTAATAAATCTTCTCTTAATTTTAAAGTATTTAAACTATTTTTGTTATCCATTTTAAATAAAAAAATTTTTACTTCACTTCAATTACATTTTTTTTTCAATTACTTTTGAAAATTTTACCAAAAGAAGAACAAATTAATTAGAATCTGAAATTAAAGAAACAGAAATAAAATTAAAATTAGTAATTTATAATTTTTTTTCTTTTAAATTACAATATTTAAAAAAAATTTAAATTGGAATTTAAAACTTACACATTTTATAATAATTGTGAATTATATTAACCCTTTTCAATCTATATTGCAGCTGTACTATATTATTTATTAAAAAAGTGCCTAAAAAAATTTAACTATAGGAATTTGTTATTAAGAATTTGTTGTTTTTCAATAAATGTCTGATCATTCAATTTCATATCAAAATAACGGTTCTTAAAAATATCAAATGCTTCTTTTGATCATTTTAATCAAAAATTAATAATAGTTGATAATTAGAGATATTAAAACCAAAAAAATTCAAAAATAGTGCCATTTTTCTGTTGTATTTCCTGTATACCACAAGATTTAAAATTTAATAACTTAAAAAAAGATACGTGCGGGTGCTTAATGGCTTTAGCAGCTGCCAAAATTGTTACTTCAACAAGAAAATCTTAAAGTTTCAAAAAATTTCGTACAAAAATATCCGGGTAAAGAAAACTAAAAAATTAAAAAATTGGAAACATTTATTTTTTTTTTTAAAAAGAATACTTGATGTTCCGAAAGTACACAAAATACATTATCAACCAAATGTTACTTCCAAATTCATAACTAGACCTCATATCCTAGATGATATCCACAGGGATTTAGGAATTCCTTTGGTTTTGAATGAAATTAGGAGTTGTGCTACAAAGCATAGGGCTCGTCTAGAACAGCATGTAAATATTGAAGCAGCTCGGCTGCTAGACAATGGCGTTATGACAGAAAAACTTAAACGAACAAGACCATTCGATTTAACATGAAATACCAATTTCTTTATGGAAGGTATTTAATTCCTGCATGGAAAAACCAAGTTAGCGAGGAGGTAATAGTTGGTCTGTAGGACCAGTTTTATCCGTTCAGAGTTTAAGTGATTTTTTAGCGTAAGAGTCACGCTCCCCCACTGTCGGAGGAAAAAGGCAGATAGAGCTGTCCTTCTTCGTCTTTCGAAATTTTTCACCTAGTATAGAAAAAAAAAAAATAACTAGACCTCTATATTTTTTTGCGTGAACCTTTTCTATCTTTTTTCGAATGCTATAAGCAAATAAAGTTGTTTCAAACCAATGGTTTGTATTGAAGCACTTTTCCCCTCAGCGAGTGAAAATACTGCTTTTGAAAACAATCTATGCATACCTACTACACCACTACAATTACTTTCATTCAAAATAAAGCAAAAATAAATTTAAAGAAGAGTTAACATATTGTTCAATTTTTGAGGGTTAATAATATGAGTTAAGAAAAATAACGATATTTTTAAATGACATAGAATTTGCCGTTAGCTTATAACATTCGTCATATGAGGCGTCAAAAAATCAAATTTTACAAATTTCGAGAGGCGATAACTTGAGAGGGGGTGGAGATGGAAAAAAATTTTCTTCAAACGAAATAAAAATTAGGGTCTAAAAGCTGTTAAATTTCAGACTTTCACAACCTGAAGTTAAGAATATAAACGACATCAAAAATTTTGAAAAAACGGATTTTAGAGTTCACGTAGGGTATGCCACAAGGTTTCACTGCAATAAGTAGTTAAAAAATGAAATTTTTACAGCTTTAGTGGGGGAAAGTAAAAATTTTCCTCTACAAGTTTCTAGTAAAGATCTATATACTGGAAAGGAGGAACTGACGGACGGACAGAGTGAAACTAATAAGTACTTTTTAAGAGTTTTGCCACCTTGTCCCAAATAAAAATTTTATCTATTTTTAATGTGTTAAACGATGATATGTAATATTATACCCTTTACTTAATCAACCTTAATAACCCCCTTATTTGTTGCCACTTTAGGTGAAATCATAATTATAAAATCCTGAATTCAATCTAAAATAAAGTATGAGCAGAAAAATGTAAATTAAAATAGCTCACATTTAACTAACTGCGATTTTTTTCTAGCTGAAAGTAAAGGAAACTTTCAATTAAGCAAAAATTTTGCAAACATGTATTGTTTAAATTCTGTTTTAAATTCACCCTTATTCAAATATGTATGTGTGCATGCTGAGATTTTGAAGTTGCATTTTTGCTACAAAATTCAGAACTAATTATAGTAAATTTTTAATTTTTCAATTCAATTCAATATAACTGTATAATTATTGTTTTGACATAATGATCAGATTTATGTATGTATATACAAAAATTTTTATATAACATTGAAGTGGTTAAGGACATAACAAATTTATACAGTTTAAAGTACAATTTGAATTACTGGTAAAAAAAGTATTTAATTATAATGACATATTTTACGGAAAATTGAATAAAGCACCTTTATAAACGTCATTTTTCGAAAGATTATTAATACGAATATTATATTTTCTAATCTTAATAATCAAGTTCGATCAACTTATTTGTGAAACAACCACAACACATGAAGAACACTTTGATCACGTCGGAGAAGATAACTATAAATGATTCAATTTAGTTAGTAATAACGGCAGGTTTCTACAAATAAGAGCACATCGCAACGGAATCAATATATTTGTTAATGAAACTCACTTACTGGAAATTTCAGGTTCACATGAAAAGCAATTCACCATCTCAAACATATGAAAATAAGAATTTAAAAATATACTCGTAATTTAAGCTATATATTTCTTAATCAAATTTTACTGATAACTGTTAAAGGTGATACTAACAACGGCCTTATAAATTGTTTAAAGAATGTGAGAATGAAGAAATTTTAACATTTATAACTCAATTAACTCTGTAATAATAATTTTTAATAATTCTCTTAATTTAATTTTAATCATTATTTATTTATGTTGAGCTTAAACATTTTGCAACAATTAAAATTAAAAAACACATAAACATATACATATATATTTTTTTTTAGACTGTTACAAATAATTATTGACTTCATAATCAATACTTTCGTTTCTACATACGAGTACATACATTCTACATACATGTACCTTTATTGTACATATTTTCGTATGCTTATATATGTATGTACGTAAACAATTGCACGAAAAAAATATGATATTCAATTAACTTGATATTTAAATTTTAAATAAAAATCAAAATTGAATCAGAAAAAAAAGATTTCAAATGAAAAATTCATTTGGTTCGTACTTGGAATTAGAACAAAAAATTTAAAATTTGATTAAATAAAAATTAAAAGCGGGAGAATGAAAAAAAAGCGACTGCGGTTTAATATATAAAAACAAAGAGAAGAAAGAGGGTGTAGGGATTAGGGAGATGCATAAGTAAATAATAATAATAATCGCCATCGGCAGACCACCGACACATTTATTTTTATATTACAAAAATTACTGCTAAGAAAAGTAAGAATATGAGAAGAGAATAAAACAATAACAAAGGAAAAGAGAGCAAAAAAAACATTACATATACATATACAAAGTACTTCTTGGTTTGGTGAACTTAAAAAACACAAGAGCAATAATAAAGAAAAAAAAAGGAAATGAATAAAGTGGGAAGGAATAGTTTTCTGGAGAAAAGCAAACCTTTTTGGGAGGTAAATCACAAAAATTATAATGAAAAAAAAAAATCGAAAAATAAAACAATAACATTAAAAAAAAATAAAAAGCGATAAATTGTAAAAACTGCGATTTATGCAAAAAATTCAAGATGAAAACAGTACAAGAAACATTGTAACCAGAAGAAAACAAAAACAACAATAACACTACGTATGTGAATGAAATGTGATTTAAAATCAGTGCTGCCAAATAGATTAGCCAACATATCTGCAATTTTTATAAATAGAACTTCATTTTGAAGATTTGGTAAAAAAAAAATCTTCACGAAAGATTCGAGATCTTCAATTGAAGTTTAATTGAAAGAAGTAGCAAACCAAAATATCACAAGATGGAAATCTGTTATATATATGATGTCATATGCCATATGCGCATTTAGTTAGTGCTTCAAGTCTACAAATATAGAATTAATTGCAGTGAAGAATATCAAAAATTGTCTGTCATGGATGTGTGTCACCTATTATATTTACTTTTTGACCAAAATTTTTCTTTGTGTACTTTGAAAAATATTGAAAAAAGTATAAAAAATTCTAAACGCTACCATAGCAATAAAAACATCAATTTTGAGGATATTTTTGTTTGTAAAATTTAAAAATTTTGAAAATCTCATATAGAAGTTTTGCACAAAAAATGTGGCGAAAATATCTTCATTTTGGAGTAAAATTTTTAGTTTTGGCAGTACTGTAATAAGAAAAACAAAATCAAACATGAAAATCAAAAGAAGAGAAAATAAAAAGAGAAACAATTAAATTATTCTCTTTTGTATTTTTCCAAAAAAAAGATCGAAAAAGAGGTTGTTAGTTTCAGCTAGGCTGTTCGTTTCCTTTGAGATAAAAAGATTTTTACCTATCCTCTATAGAAATTATAGCCGGTCAAGGTCTTGAAAATTCTATTTTTGGACTACTTTTTGTATCAAACATTTTTTAAATTCAAAGGAAAATGCTACTTTAAAAATCAATTTTTATTTAGCATTTCATGTCTTATGTTAATTTTTCTGGATTCTGCTATGAAAATGATTGAAATTGTATGTTATAGTGTATTGTTTCATAATTCAGCAATTATTATTTCTATTGCTTAATTGTTTTATAAGTTCTAATTTCTGAAGGTTGTAATGATAAAATATTACTATACATTTTAAATAAGAGGAAAAATATTACTGCACTTAATATTTTTTATTCTGCAATTTATTTCAATTGATCAAAATTTCCATCGGGTTTATAATATTGATTTTGATAAAGAATAGTTTATGGCAATGTACGAACGTATATCCGAAGCAAATGATTCATTATAATAAATGTCGGAATTTAAAAAATTAAATACAGGCGTCCCTCGTATAACACGGTTAATTCGTACCGTGCTATATCGAAACCGTGTTATTCGAAACAAGGTATACCGTGTAGTATCGAGACCTTGTCTTGTGTTATATCGAAACCGTGTTATACGAAACCTTGAAATAATATAAATAAAGGCAATGTGTACCGTGTTATATCGAAACCAAATCTTAAGGTGTAAAATTTTATGATAGCTGAAATTTCGTTCCAAATACTACATAAATGAAAAAGGAAGTTACCTTCAAGTTTTTATTAAGAAAAATAAATGAAATTCAATTTTATGATGAAATACAAAAATTAAAAAATACAACAAAAAATATATTAAATGACTAATAATTATAATTACATATTATAAAACAAGTAGAAACAGCTTATTACGATTACAAAATTAATTTTCATCATCACTCTCATCAGAAATTACAGCTAATCTTCTTTTTTTTCTCCAGGTTGGTTGAAACTCCTCTTCACTAGTTATTTCTCCATCATGACAAAGGTTATCTGACGTAGTAGCAACTACCTGATAACTAATGACGTACAATTTGGAGGAAAAAACACAATTTTTACGTTAGGATGATTCAACTCTCTACTATGGCTACCTGCATTATCAATGAGCAATAAAACTTTAAAGCTCAAATTTTTTTTCTTCAAAAACTTTTCTACTTCTATAATAAAACAATTTTTAAACCAATCTTCAAACAAATTTTGCGTCATCCAGCCTTTTTTATTTGCTCGCCAGAAGACTGGTAGATGAGACTTATCAACGTTTTTCAATGCTCTGGGATTCAAAGAACGATTTATTATCATTGGTTTTACTACAAAATTTCCTGATAGGTTACTACACATGTGAAGGGTAACACGATCTTTACAAGTTTTATAACCTGGTGATTGCTTCTCATTTTTTGAAATAAAAGTTCGAGACGGCAGTCTCTTCCAATATAAAGCTGACTCATCGGCGTTGAAAATTTGATCTGCTGAATACTCTCCCTCTTCAATAATTCGCGGTATTTCCAATATAAATTTTTGAGCAGCTTCTACATCTGCTGAAGCTTGTTCTCCTTGCAATTTTACATTGCGCAAAGAAAATCTTTTTTTAAAATTTTCAAACCACCCTTTACTTGCCAAAAATGATAGGTTTGGTTCTTCTTTAGAAGAAAGTTCATCTTTCCTTAAATGTGTGTAAACTCTGAGGGCTTTTTGTTTAATAATATTTGTACTCAAAGGGATTTTTTTATCTAAACAATCTTCTATCCATATTATAAGAGCATGTTCCATTTTTACGATATTTATATCTCTTTTGCGGGACACACGTTTTGCACCTTGCGAGCAACCAAAGGCAACATTTTTTCTAATTTCGCTTTCATTTTTGAATATTGTTCGAATAGTAGCTTCGTTTAAATTTAATGATTTTGCAATCGATGTAGGTTTTTCTCCGCTTTTTATACGATCTAAAATTGCAATTTTTTCTTCGAGTGAAATAAATTTTCGTTTAAATTTTTGCTTCTTGATCTTGTCAGACATTATCTAAATTTAGGGTCCAAAATAAGATTTACAATAAACGTTACAACTTCATTTTTTACATACCTCAAATTAAAATTATTATGCACTTATAAACTTGCAAAAGAAGGCTTTTTTACTACGTACTTTTTACTTTACTTTCTAAAATGTTAAAAACAAAGCAAGCTAAAACTTTATCAACTTCATTTACAAAGGACAAAACGCAAATGTACTTTCACTTCTCAAAACGAAATGAGATATTTTTTTGTAGCAATAAATTTGTGGTATTCCCCTTATTGAACGGAAAAAAAAATTAAAATTTTCAATGCATATTTGTTATTTATTTCAAAACCCTGTTTTACCGTGTAATATCGAAACCGTGTTATATTAATCTCAATTCTTGTACCGTGTAATATCGAAACCGTGTTATATTAATCTCAATTCTTGTACCGTGTAATATCGAAACCGTGTTTTACAAGTACCGTGTTATACGAGGGACGCCTGTACACCAAATATTCATAAGAAGCTTAATCGATTACACTTGTAATCCCTATCACTTGGTGCTAAGAAACTATTTTATTTTAACAATATTTTAGAAATATTACTCGTTAATATTCTTACAAAAGTTCTGCAGCAAAACTATTAATTATAGAATTAAGTACTTTTTGCTTGACACTTTGTTAGAAACAATCTTGATAACTTTGTTGAAATAATTGGGAAATTTTATAAACATTGTGGAATTATTTCAATTCTCGATAAAATAAAAAAGTGGTCCCTCAATTTTATATGTATGTTTATAGAATTTGGATACATGCAAGATTACCTTAAAATAAAGATCATACAATTTTTCAAAATGTAAATCAAGCAATGTCGGAATTGTGAAAAATTTTGAAGAATCAAGAAAGTAGAATAGTCAAAGTAAAGCTTCAATTTAAATCAAAATATCTAATATATAAAATAAAGTGATGTCTTTAAATATTATAATAATAATTTTTTGTGACATTTCCATCAAACTAAAGTAAAATGGCAACAAGCAAGACTTGCAAATATTTAGTTTACGAAATTGAGAGTTTATGCTGCTACCGTCGAATTACAAATTTTTTATCTTTCAAATTTCTTTTTTCGTCTGTCAAATTAGAATTTGCATCTACCAAATTATTTCTTTTCCTTCAACTAAAGTAAAGGTAACAATTTTTTTTTCCTTTATTTTGTCACATTCAATCATTTTTAGGATCCGCATATGATTTAAAATGCGAATAGAAGTATTAATTTCGCGAAAAATATGTTTATTCAAATATTTTCACCTTATGTAATCTAAAACTACTCTAGAACCCGTTGAATACGTTATGTAATTCATGAAAAAGCCCTTGTTATGTTCCCAAATCATATTTAATAACGTGTCTGTCTGCACACATGGAATTTATACTTAAAATTAAAAAAAAAAAAAACAGAAAAATCTATCGAAATAGATTTTAAACCCCTGAACTTTGGGATGTGTTGAGCTGTGAACATCGTTTCCACGCAAAGTTTTCGTCTACTTATGAGGGTCAATACACTGGTATAATATAACGGTGCACATATGTAGTTACATGAACTGTGTTTAACAGAACTTTCATACAAAAAAATGTTTCATTTATAATTTATACTCTTATCTAATTCGGAGTACCTTACAGCTAGTGTATGACAAATCGATTGTAATTTTTAAAAAATTGTGCCCACATTCACTATATTACAATTAAAAAATTTTTAAATACAATTTAAAGTTAAAATTCTAAAAACTTTGTATACGAAACAGTGAAACCTATATAATTTTATTCTGTTCCATTTTTGTCCGGCTTTATTTGAAATTTTTGTACAGGCTATATTGTAAAAATATTTTCTAAATTGTATTTTATTCTAATTACTGTTCTCTCTAACGGATGTTTATACTGGCTTATAAAGATATAAACAAAATAAAATAAAAAAACTGTTTGTTCTTTGTTTATTTTTATTTTTTCTTTCAATTCCTGATTTGATTTGTCAGTTATATGGAATTTCAGTTGAATTTTGATTTATATTATGGCACTTGATTAATTTTCAACTTTTATTTTAAAGTTTTTTAGTTTTGTTTTATTTCTTTTTCTTTAGAAAGATGGAAAAATCGTATATTTTATAATTTTGAATAAAATGAAATTTTCATGTGAATTTGAAATAAAATTATATATAATCCCGCCAATGGCTTATGACGCTCCAATATATGCATACATATATACATACAAAAACAGAGAAAAGTACCCAACAGTGCAGGGTTTGTAAACGAAATTCTGATTTTTAATTTTAAACACTAAAAAATGTGTGATTGGAGTGAAATTATAAAATTAGCTTTTCACTTGCGATATTCAACATACACATATTGGATATTGTTTACGTTTCTTTTAAGGGTGCCTGAGTTTCAAACATATATATATATACATATATTTATGTAACGAGTAATTTAATTTTGAATTTGCGACATAATTTAAATTTTGATGTGTATGTTATTATTCTCAATCTCTTTCCTATTGCTTTCTTTATTCAATGTCTAACGGGTTAGAAAATAGATCCAGTTTTCCTCTTAATTTATTCATAATTTATTTTATTGCATGTTATTTAAATGAGCACTTAGGCTCGTATGTAAGGCAGAATCGCTACTCATAAAAATTAACTGGAATAAACTAAAATGTTCAAAAAATTAGAATAAAAATTTGTTAAATGATAAATTTGGCATGTTAAACACTTATTTGTATAGTCTAATTTTAGTTTTATTTCAAATTTGTATTAGATTGTGTTGTTAGTGTTGTCAAACCCGGAAACTTCTTCATTATTTTCTTATTTTTTGTTTTCCCACAAAACAAATTAACCCGAATAAATGAAAAAGTTTTTGTAATATTTTCAATAAATATTAAAATAAATAAATAATTTCTCAAATTTTCGATAATTGAAAGCTCCATTTTTAATGTAATTTTTCATGAACTGTCGATAACATCCCAATTACTGGTGTTCATTTTTAAGTATGGCTTGCCGTAAGTATCACATTTTGAAAACTACTCATTCAGCGAATTGTATCCTGTTGCTTTTATAGCATTCAAATCAGCAATATTTTTCAGAAGGTTCGATTGTGAAATTCTCAATTGAGAATTCTCGAGAAATTTTCTTGGTGAAAAATTTTCATTTTTGATGAAATAATACATCTCAAAATTTAAATTATGTGACAAATTCGAAATTTAATTACTCATAAAGTAAAGTAAGTTTTTTTTTTAATTATGTTCTTTATCGGAAATAATTGAATTGAATTAAGAACCTGAAATATTAATGGTGAAGTATGCTTATATGATTATAATGATTCACTGATATTTGAAACTAAACCTGAGAGACAACTTTAAAAGGAAAATGAGAAGATTCGGTGAGCAATAGAATATAAAAATATTATGCAATACAGACTGCAGTTTCGTGTCATATACATATACTTTATTGGTTCGAAAATGCTTTTCTTTAGTATTACATAATCTTATACAGATTCGGTAATGTTTTAATCTAAAACCTACAGTAGTAGAGGGCTAAATAATTAAGATCAACTTTTCAAGATAAGACTTTGGCCTTTTTTAAGAATGTCATATGATTTCTGCTAATGACCATCATCTGCAAAGTTGACACTGGCATCACATGCCTCTTATCATTTGACTTTTGAAATTAATCACATTTGCAAAAATTCATTTGATATTTTTAAATTCAAATGTGGTTGAAATATGTACTTGTTATGCGGTCCAAAAACTACCTCTACAAAAATCACGTAAATTAATATTTTTATGTACATATGTACCTATAAAGAAAGAATCAACACTTACTCAGTTTCATCTGCACCAGATTCGTAATTTTATTGAAATTCCGATTCTCTTTCAGTTCGCTCAATTTCGCAATTACTTTTTTAACTTACTAACTTGCAGGGTAGAGTTTTTGAAATGCTGACAGATATCACATGATCATCATGTGACATTTTTAAAAAGGACCGTTATATATCAGTACAGTGTAGTCATATTGAATCCATCTTTAAATTCAATAGTTTTGTGTTGAAGTCGATATATATATGCCATATAAACATACAACAAAACTAGTCAAAGCTGGAAATGTAAGTTATCGAAATATTTTTTCATCTCAGACAGTTTTCGGAGATATTTTTGTATAAAAAATAAATAAACTTGTTATTTGCTGTAAGATTTCCGTTGTACAAAATCATTTAAATTAAAATTATACGTATAATGAAATATGTTATAGACACTAAAATAAAATAATAAAACAATCAGTAATTTCATAATTTTCGGCATTTTTTGACGATTTTTTCATTTTTAAATTTTTTTAGGGACAACAGAGTTGGAAGTTTTCCGGAAAATACACGATTTTGTCTTTGACAGCTTTCATCTCTGACAAATTTTACTGTACATAGTTGTGCATATTCTTAGATCGCAAATTGTACATTTTGTAGCCAATCAAAGTTTTGTGACAAAGAACTGAAGCAAAACCAAAATTTTTGAAATTTTTTTTCTTTATTTAACACACTTACAGTTTCAATTTTTCTATATGGCTTCCTTAGTTGAGAAATATTTTATGATATTGTAATAAAAATTAAGCCAGTGCCGTAATAGTATGAGGTATGTACATATACACATACATATTTGCAAATATACACAGTAGGTAGATAAACTTATATTTAACTTAAAAAAAATGATTACCTATAAGGAATTAACATTAAATAAATAAAGCAA